GGTATAGTATTTAAATACTGTATATGCCTGAGAAATGCATAATATTGGCCCTTTAAAACTTGTCCAGTCGTTTCTGTTTCCATCTCTTTTGTATGTACATTAAAATAGTTTCAAAAGCTTTCACTTTTAAAACATCTAAACTTTGGTCAGGTTGAATATTGGTCTAAATAATTTAAAGCTGAAAACATCTCAAAGTGGTTACTTCTGATAGACAGCTACGAGCTAATATAATGTCCCTCAACTTTTAAAAAAGTAACCAGAGTTTTTTGTGAACTGAAAACATAAGTCCAGGCAGAATGAGCTGCGGAACAAATCAGAGCCAGGCCGGGGGCGGGGCAAATGACCACGCCCTTTATACCAAATAATAAAGCTCATGATGACATCATTTTATACAACATGCACATGCCTGCAACAGCACGGCTTACAAGCTTCAGCACAACAAAGCAACTATGTTATTGTGAAGTCCATCAAACGGACATGAAGTATAACAAACCAAGAAAACCATTAAAACACTCAGCTATAAAACAACAAATTGAAAACAGTTCAGCACCACAGAGAGTGGTCGTGTCATTTTGACAACAGCTTTATCTATTTCCACTCTGAACCTGTACCCTATCAGTAAGTAAAGTTCAGTAACACTGGCACAGCGGCCCACATGTTCACAAACACATCTTCAAAAAGGAGTACTTTAGGCCTAATCACCTGTTGAAGAGCATACAACGTCCATGATGCTCTGTGTTTTCTTTCATCTTATTCTCAACACGAGTCCTGTCGGTCTCTCCTGTCCCACTGTGCTCCTCAAATGTCATCTTGTATGGCCTGTCTGTAATTTAACCCCCAGGTTGCAGATATTCAGATGTTAACAGACCAATCTGCCAGATTCTTTTAAGTTTTACGGATTAAAAAAATGTTTCAAGTTTATTGTTTAAAAAAAAACAAGAGGGACCAGAGACACCTGGACAGGTCTCCAGTTNGATATGCTTTTGTAGATGTTATGGACAATTGCTAAATCATAAATACCTCGTAATTATTAGCATAATAAAGGGGCACCACCTGATAATTCAGGAAATTAATTTATAGATGTTAAATCAGTCTCAAATACTGAGTAGTGAATTCTACCATTTTCAAGAACGAAACCCAGTAAATTACGCACAGACGAACGAAAATTTCAAAATATATCCTGTATTAAGATGATCCAGAGATAACAATACAACAGATCATTTGGGCAGACAGAAACATTATCATCAAAGCCTTGAGGTTTAATCATAAGCATTAATGTCATTCCATAATGAACTCTAGCATCCTTCACTGAACCACTTAAGCTAGTCTACACTAACAAAAATTATAAGAAACTTAAAGGTTAATGAAAGGGATTGTTAATTCATCGATACAAGAGGGCACGTGAATTATGCATGAATTAAGCTCACCAAACTTTCCTTAATACCAACTTAATGACCCAGAAGCTTCACCACCACCTCAGCTGAGCAACCACCGTCAACAGATAACGTATGTCTGTCCTACCGCTTTGAAGAATGGTCCACTGTCCCTGGGTACCGGCAGGTCCAAGCGAGATTGAATACTGGTACCGCTCGGCTTCAGAGAGGTCCCCTCTGGGTACAGTTTGGACGTACCAGGAAGCGGCTTAGTTAGGCTCCAAGCTGGACACAAGGGGTCTTTCTTCTGGGCACTTGTTGAAAAAAAAAGAATTCTGATCGAGCTCGCTTCCTGCATGAATCCAGTCCCTCGTTATAACGAAGAATCAACAACTTTAAAGTTACAAAATAAAATAAAAATAAAATGAAAATAAAATTTTTCCCCTTTTGGGAAAATGGAGCTAATTCTTTCAACTGAATGCTTCTTCTTCCTCCATCATCTTCTGCTGCTCCTGCACAACTAACTATTTGCTGCTAAACTTGTTCCTATTGTCCTGACTCTGAAACTCATGATTGGCTAAGAATAGTCACATGACCTGACTTCCTCTTCACAGTCTGTCACTGAAATTGATTACAAACATACAGAAATAAGATTGCTTGTGAAGTGATTAACAGTACATTGTTTCAATATGATTGGATCACATAGAAGATACAATAATTCTTTTTCTTTTTTTACATCAGAATGAGAAATACAGAAAAACATACGTTCATGGTGTAATTATAAAACCCGTCTTTTGGTGGCGCTCTAAACCATAAATGAGACAGTATGTAAATGATTTGTTTGAAGCTCGTCTGGGTGTTATATATCAACAGGGGATCTGGCTTCAAAAAGGCTTTTTCTCTGCAGCAGACCCATACTGCCAGACACCATGTCTGCGAAGATCGTGGGTGTGTCCAAAACGGCAGGACGGGTCCTCCGAAGGACCCAGCCTTCCCCGTCGAGGTGGGCCG